TTTGTTTCAAACCTTGCTCTTTGTCAGGACCTTGGGAGGAGGTACAGGTATTGCTTCTCTCTCTCCCAGGGAGGAAATTTAGTAGCAAACCTCATAAAATCCACGCTTATTTTTGCAATAGAGTTTAAGAATAAAATATTTAATATACAGACAGATGTTTATTAAAACTCGTACTATGTGTGGGTCTTTATTATCTTAATGAGCTCAGCAAGCAAGCCATGCCATAGGTACACATCTGCAATCACTCTAAGAGTTTAAGATGGACAGTAAGTTGGTAAGATTTTATAGGTGGGAAACTTCAAGTTTCCCATTGCACTGAAGCAGGTTTAACTTTTTAAAATTACATTTATTTGTGCGTATGTATCTTCATGCCATAGAGTGTGGGGAGGTCAGAATTGTGGGGATTGGGTCTCTCCTTCCGCCACCTTGATTCTGGGATTGAATTACGGTGGTCAGGCTGGGCAGCAGTTGCCTTTATCCCCTGAGCCATCTTGCCAGCCCTGAGCAGCTCTAATTTTTATTATTGTTCACTTTTTATAAAAGATTTTATTTATTTATTTATTTATTTATTTATTTATTTATTTATTTATTATGTATACAAAATTCTGCTTCCATGTATATCTGCACACCAGAAGAGGGCACCAGATCTCATAACGGATGATTGAGGGCCACCATGTGGTTGCTGGGAATTGAACTCAGGACCTCTGGAAGAGCAGTCAGTGCTCTTAACCTCTGAGCCATCTCTCCAGCCCCTGCCCTTACCCTTATTAGAAGTAGTGATTAACTAAAGCTTCTGAAGGCCAGGATGAAGCTGTGGGAGGAGAGAAGACAGAGCTATGGCTACAGAATGGCAGGAAAGAATGCATTCCCAGAGTTCCCACAGTCTTTTTCTTTCTTTTTTTTTCTGCTGCAAATCCTTCAACAGCCTCTATGGGTTACAGAGCACTCTAGATGTTTGTGGTCATAACTGACATTTCTAGATGGTCTCATATTGAAAGAAGCACTGTAATTTCTGATTGCTTTTCCCCAGACAGGCCTGTCAGCGGCTGTAGTGTTTCCTTGGCTTGCATAGCTGTGTCACATATGTAGGCTCCCAGTTCCCATGGGCCATTGATGGCCTCTAAGGTCTCCATCAGCTTCTGCAGTAGCCTGCAGTCTCCTAGTGCCATGCATGTCTTCTAGCATGACTGCAAAGAATGAAGTGCTTCGGGGCTGGAGTTGTGTGCCAGATGACACCAAGCAACATACTCTACAAGTCAAATGTCACATCTGGAAAGCCCAGTGCTCACAGTTGGATAAAAGCCAGACACTAGTACTGAAGGTTCATATCCATGTGACATAGTCCCTGCTCTGAGCCAGGGACTGCAGCTCCAGTTTATCTGACTGCTGCTCTGCCTTCCAGGCTACCTGCTGCTCTGGATTTTATCACTTCTTTTCCACTCAGAATATCATTAATAAGGACGCCAGGCAGCTTTCTCTCCCAGACTTTCTGAATAGATTTCCATCAACTCAAATAGCCCTGGTTGCCGTACAAATACAGACAGTAGCATGAATGTACTCTAGCTGAAAGCGCTGTGCTTCACAGTGCAGGATAGGAGCTCTGAACTGTCTTCTAGGCTCTGCCATTGTGTTACCTGGGCCTGGCCTTCTCTTGACCTTAGTCTCCTCATCTGCAAAAGTGCAGTGGATTGGATGGTGTTTAATGGACCTTGCATTTTTGACACCCATAGGCTGAAAATATGTACAATTTATAAGGAAGCGGTTTGTAAATGGTTGTGTTAGGGGAGTATCCTTTCTTTTTCCCTTGGCAGAGAAAATCAGACCGTATTTGGTTCTTGACATCATAAAGTGGCTAATATTTCAAAGAACTAAAAGCAATCAGATTTAAACAGCAAGGTAAAATGTGTGCATGATATTAACATACTTTTCTTCACTCAGCAAGAGTTCTATTTTAATCTGTCACTTCCAATATTATACCAGCATGTTTCAGCCCATTTAGGTTAAGTAGCTACAATAATTTGGAACGGACTAATGACTTATATACTGACTGCAAGTGCCCTAGGCAGAATCCAGTGAGGCCTTGCTCTGAGACTGTGGGCTCTTAGGTGTGCTTAAAGGCCCACATTTTAGTATTGTCAACATGTTGCAGTTGGCTCAGAATGGATTCGCTCATTTTTTAATTTGGGGCAGAAAGGGTAATTATGGCTCAGCAGTTCAGAAGCTCCTTTCTGTGCCACATGGAGGGCCAGTGGCTTGAGGTGTGAGGCTAGTTCACTATTGCTGCTTTTGTAGGGTGTGGTCTCCCTGACAACATGATCAGTGACTCTCTTTTCCCAACTGAGCACTGGGAGTTCAAATCTGAAGTAACATGCTTCATGCATGAGCTAGCATTCACCTCAAATGTAAAATTCACACTTAATCTTTCATCTCTCTTCTCCTTTAGCCAAAGATAACAGAATTAATTTCTCTAATCTAAGTGTGGTCCCCTTTCGGTATGCTCAGTGCAGGGCTAATTGCTATTCTGGAATAAACATGAACTCCAATTCACCTAACATTTAAAAAATCATTTAATTTTATTCATGTGTATGTGTGTGTGCCTGCTTGTCTGTAGTGTATCACATGTGTGCAGTACCCATGGAGGCCAGAAGGGAGCAGCAAGTCTCCTGGAGCTGGACTTGCAAATGGTTGTGTGCATCTTGATGTGGAGCATTGAACCTGGGTCACTTACAAGAAGCAAGTGCCACAGCGAATGCTCTTAACCATTGAGCCATCTCTCTAGTTCCAGCCAATGTTTATTGAGCAACTACTATGTCTTAGTGTAGTAAGCAGTGATGGTAATTTACATACTTAAAAATTTCAAATGCAAACATGCTTATTTCAAAATTTAGTCAGCATTATTGGTAATGCTACACAGGGAACCTCTACTTGAATATTTGTTGAATGAAGGAATGAAGAACAAAAACAACCTATACATTCTTAACATCTCAAAGGCCTTTGAACAGTGTCTCCCCAAACTCTGTCATTATACAAATGGAGTTACTAATTCCTCAAAGGGTATGTGACTGATCCAAGGCCACACACACAGTTAATCAGATCTGTAGGTGGATTCAGGGCATTTTCTCTCCAGATGAAGTTGGGGGGCCATCAGAGTATGAAGTGTCCCATTTCACCAGACACATTCTTCCCAGGGTTTTGCTGATCGTGTTCTTTGGGATACATTTCTAGATGATTCAACAAGAAACACTTGAAGAAGTTTGGAAAGATGTTTATTGATACTTTTGCAAGACAAAAAAGAGACAGGCAGTAGTAGAAATTGAGTAAGATCAGCACTAGTGAAGGAGAGTTTGTTTGGTGAGGGCAGGCGGCAGTGCCGAGGGGTTCAAATCATGCTTTCGTCATTTGTCCCATTTATGCATCATTAAGTACTCAGTATTGAACAAGTTTGTACAAAGATCCAAATAAGAATTAAAATACAAGTTCCTTAAGTCACAGATGAAAAACCTGATGGTTGGTCAGGAACCCTCTTGAAAGTTCAGTATAACAAGATTAATTATAACAACAAAGCTCACTGGTGAGCTGAAAACCAGAAATGGGCAATTTAGTTGGCCATTTGTAATAACTCCCATCCTTCAGCCTGTTTCAGGAGACATGATGCTCATGTTGGTTGTCTTATTTAGGCAAGTTGTCTTATTGACTGGCACTGGAGAATGCTGAAGACACACTGCTAAAATAGTCCTTCAAAACTGTGCGAGTTCTAGGTTAAAAACAGACTAAAGCACTGTTTTAAGATCAATTTTGAATATGTTTTCTCAACTCCCTTGCTCAGTAACTTCTTATTAATAGCTTTAAATCTACCAAAGTAAGGGTATTTACACTGTAGAAATGAATAATTGTTACAAATAAGGTTCTGAGGTGTTTTAAAGAGACCATTTTGCTTAGAAATTTACCATTATGATACTATACATAGTGTAATTATGTGGCTAAATTGATCATTTACTTTTTCTCTTTCTTTCATGTTCTTTTTCTTCAAGACAGGGTTTCTCTGTGTAGCCTTGGCTGTCCTGAAACTAACTCTGTAGATCAGGGTGGCCTCGAACTCAGAGATCCACCTGCCTCTGCCTTCCATGTGCTGGGACTAAGGTGTGCACCGCTCTGTCTGGCTCATCATTAACTTTCTATTAGCATGACCTTTATGAGACAGTGAGGCAAACATTTTGACCAATGCCGTCATTTTTATACTTGTAATGGCATGTGAGTTTGCCTTCTTGGAAACATCCCTAGTTAGGTCTCCATGATCACCGATTACATATTCTTAGGGAACTATCCTGGGTGGTGCAAATGATCATAGGTAGTGTACCTCATCTTCATGTTGTTCAAATGAAGTTTGAGATCCAACTGAAAGCAAATATGGGGTGGGTGGGTAGGGAATTTACAAAAGACAGTCCTTTTCCTCCTCCAATGGCCAGGGAGATGGAGAGTGTGAGTGAGTGAGGGGAACATTGATTTTGGGATTGGAATTTTGAAAAGATACAGAATTCAGAAGAAAAACAAGAGAGGAAGTCAAGCTTTTGATGAGTTTTAAACTAGCAGCTGCTCCTGTGTACTTTTTGCCTTAAATGGGCTAAAGATTCTGGATAGAAAACCAATAAATTTGAGAGAGGCAAGGAAGATCTGAAACACGGATTGCTTCTAAGGAGGGATAATTGGGTAAGTCATCACAGTTGAGAAGCATGGTGGACACCATGGAAAACTTCCCTTTCTAATTTCACCAAGGGCTGGACTCATGGAAACAGTAAAATCTCTCTCATCAAACCAGTTCTCTAGTAATTGCATTTGCTAACCTACTTGATCTCGTATAGTATAGATCCTAGATGGGATCCTCCTCTGCACAGAGAAAAATCAGTATCTATAGATTTAACAAGAGTTGCCAAATGACTAGTTGATACAGGGCGTGGTCTATTTTCAGCCCAGTGAATTGCCTTCAGAAATAGGTTTTTTCATTAAATTAACTTTGTTTTTTCCTTAATCCAGTTGACATACCGGGAAACCTTAGTATATATTCCATATTTGCCTTTTATTGCACACTCTTCACCCCAGCTAATAATGCCAGTTAAGAAACTGGTCCCTTCTACTTCAGTAACATGGGGTCCCCCGCTATCTCCTTCACAAGAATCTTTGCCTCCTTCCCTGTAACCAGCACAGAACATGTTGTTATAGATGGTGAATGTTGTGGACCGAAGGCATGTGGCTCGGTCAACCAGTGGAACTCTGAGGTACTGAAGAATGGAAGCCTGTCTCCCTTTGTTGAAGACTTTTCCCCAGCCACTTACATAGCCAGAACCAAACTTGAGGAAGATGTTTGTATATTCCCTATTGGCAACACAGATAGGTGTTACATAGCTGTTTAGTATTAAACTGTACTTATTAATAGATGCATTGTAGTGGTGATGAGGGATAGTTTGAATCACATTTCGCCTTTGCTCTGTGTCTTCCTTTTCATCAATGTTATATTCACCTGTTGAAAACAAATCTTGTAGTTTATTGTTTTTTGCACAAACATATTTCCCATGGGTCTACACTCTGCTTGGGTTCACTGATCACTAGCAACCAAGTCTCAATGATCTAATGTAGGGGGCGGGGAAGTTGATGCATAAAGAATTGTACCCTGCTGGGAGTGTTGTATGAGTTTTAAAAAAGAATTGTGGGGACTGGAAGGTGAAATAAGTTAGAATTTGAAATTATGGTCCATAGACCATTAGCCCGATTTAGTAACAATTCTATTGGACCTCTGTACAACATGATATGTCTATCATACACTGTTGTTGCTAATTATTATCTATTTGGTTTACTTACCTGCAACAACCTCAATTTTATCACCAGGTTTAAGACAGTGGGCAGCAGTTACAACCCATTTTTCATTAATGATGGCACCTCCACAGAATGCCTCAACTTCACCATTTAAGATGACCTGTGGGGATAAAATTAAGAATCTCACTGCATATGATATTTGATGCAGAGAAAAATGAATACATATGCTATTTTCGGGAGTGGGTAAAGTTGGCTTCTAGGTGCTGGCAGAATTGGAGGATTTCTGGAAAGTGTCAGCTCCACAGATGAATTAGTGTTTCTGGAGTACAAACTGAACAGCTGTTTCTGTAATGATCCTGAAGTGAATGCAAAAGGAGACAGAGTGGTAGGGACAGTGCTCCAGGCCAGGCAAATCTGAGGAGTGGCTTTTTTTGTGATGTGGGTCCTTGAGCTCCTTTTCCCATGTTACCTAGAGTGTGCTGGCACACACTTTTCAAAGAGATACAGTGTGTATGGAAGGAAATACTAACTCCCAAGGATGAATAATTACTATTGAGTCTCTTGTCTTGTATGGGGGCATCTCTTTGCTCCCGGTCACTTGAAAGAGAAAAATGACCTGTTCTCTCAGGAGTTGTTTCAAATTAAATTATTATGAAACGAGGCCCGAGGCCCCCGCAAGGGCTGTGTTTATTAGTCACCTATGTGCTGGTCACCAGCAGGACTCACACATCTCTTCCATCTCTCCTAATCATAGCCAGCTTTCTCTGGCTAGAAATGTAGGCTGTCCTTGTTCTAAAAAGTCTGCTTTGCTGTACTTGAGTTTTAGACAATGTGGACAAAAGTGTGTTGAGTGCTGCATTAAACATGGACATTATTAGATAAGAGGCTAATCTATTTTCTCTTGTCCATATTCACGTCATAATCAAAGGGGACTATCAATGGTTTTTTACCAAATCAATGTCTAAATCGACTTAGTTCCAGTTCCCATGTAAACAAAGGCCTTTTTGTGCCACATTTTCAGAGAGAAAACTGAGAAGTGTGGACACTAGAGGGCACACTCAGCATTCAGTCAACTCTTTGCAGGAGCCCAGTAGCGTTTGTGAACTGATGCCCTTCGCCTAAATTGGAAGTAGCCCTTCAGCTAAACCTGTTCCTAAACACAACAGAGGGGGATGTTGGTCCCTTTGTGTGCAGGGCAGAGATGGTCCTTTTGAAGGACTTGTTGTGGGTCTGAATTTAACTTGCTGAATAGCTACTGTGTCCTGGACACTGAAGCACTAGCTTTGTATCTAAAGTCCTGAGGGGTAACCCAGTTATTATAGCCCTCTCACCGCCTTTCCCATGCTCAGGCTCTCTGGCTCTTTGTAGGTATTGATTTATATTTTGAAAAATTGCAAAAATACAGAAAAAACACAATGATATAATAAACACCAACATTTCTACCACCCAGATTTAACAGTCTTCCTAATTTTATACATTTATTGAGTGAGTGATTATTGGGGGCTAATAATTGTATTGTTTATACATGCTTGTAACTCAAGACACAATATATTATGAAATATTACTCTATCCATTGTCAATGAGCAAACTGAGGCTTAAAGATATGTAATCACTCATGCTACTGAAGTGACACAGTAGGTCAAGTGCCACCAAGCCTAGCGACCTTAGTTCAATCCCTGGAATCCACATGGTAGAAAGAAGAACTGATCTCTGCAAGTTGTCCTTTGACCTCCACATGTGTGCTGTGGCATATGTGTATCACACACACACACACACACACACACACACACACACACTCTTCAAGTATGCCTGGCCCCAGTGTTTATGTTCCTGAATATTCAGAATCTTAAAGGCCATTTGAGGACCAAATGTGGTAGAATAATGTCTGTGTCTTGTAGAAACAGATTTGGGGGCTCATAGAAACTCAATGAGAATATTTTGTGGGTAGTGCTGCAGAAAGTGGATCTCTAGAATATTCTTACAGTTCTTATTATTATGTTTGAGAAGTGTTACATAACTAGTGAATTCGGATTCTCATTGTTTAGTAATCTTTATGTTTTAAAAATGTTAACTCAGGCTGGGAGCATATTTTGTAGGGTCAATGGGAAATAAAAATCTGAGTTTCCTTGTTCTAAAGCCAGGATATAATTTCTCTTGAAGATACTTAAGTAGAAAGCATTCCTTTTTTCTTCTAGAGTAGTTTTTATAACCCATCATTTAAAATTTATTTAGTACTATACTCCTTCTGGCATGGGGCTATTTTCTGGTTGACAGCAAGCCTTTTCAGGTGCCCAGGAGCTGTGGTGTGCCATGAAGCACACATACTCTTGACATCCATCTCTGTCTGCTAGCTCCAGATGATCCCCACTCCCTGCACCATTCCTAATGGGAGGGTAAGGCTTTCTTCCTTTGCTAGATTGCCACAGCCATCAAAAGAGAGAGGCAATTCCCAAGTAAATGCACTTCCATGGCAGCATGTGTGGGACCTGGAACCCCTACTCACTCTCTGAATGTGCTAGGAGAAGCATATTCTGGGTCCAGAGATGCTATGTGATTATGACTCTTTCCCCAAGTCATATATTATGATCAATTGTCCTCAATCTTTCCCCTGCGTGCCAACACTGCCAGGAAGGGAGTGCAGCAATGGCAAGTGGGTTGAAGCAAGGAGAGGAAGTTTGCTTGAGTACCATGGCAATGGTCACTGGGCAAGTGTGGGGAGAGGTAGGTTCTATGAAGCACCGTGGATAGGGGACTGGGAGGTGGTAAAAGATGTGACTACAATAATCCAAAGTTTCAGGTCCTCAGAATGTGCTCTATTGTCTCATTAGACTTCAGTTATGGAACACAAATACAAAATACTTAACCTTTGACATTATACCCTTCTCAGTATAGAACACTGTACAAGTGTGCTGTTCAAAAGATGAAGAATCAGTATTTATCCCTACTGTATGAACTGGCTTTTTGGAATCCATTCCCTATGGAAGGATACATTGCTCAGCCTGGATGCAGGGGGAAGGGCCTTGATCCTGCCCCAAATAATGTGACAGACTTTGATGATTCCCCATGGGTGGCCTCACCCTCTCTGAAGAGTGGATGGGGGGGTGGTGGCGAGAGGGTGAGGGAAGTGGGAGGGAGGGAGGGGAACTGGGATTATATAAAAGAAGATTGATTCAAGGGAAAGTACATGTGAAAATATTAATAATTTAATAAAAAATATCCAGGAAAAAAAAACAAAAAAAAACCAAAAAAAAAATAAAAATAAGTATAAAAAAGAAAAAATGGTTATGGATCTGAATTGCAAGTTCTTAAAAGAAGAAATAAAAATGGCCAGAAATACCTTTAAAAAAGATGAGGTGGCTGACCCCAATCCCAAATGGTTTTTACCATCAAGTAAATTTGGATAACATGGTCCTCAATATTACAATCCAACACATTTTCCGCTGGAAGTAAAATTAACATGCCACAATAGAATGCTTCTCTTTTAGGTACTATTATAGGATTACTGAACACCTTAGTGGGTTAGATAGGTCAACCTGAAGGATATCCACATCCCCTAGGCACATAGGCATATATTTTATATGACTCTGCCAAAGGATTGCTGCTTGGAGATTCTACTGCTTTCCAGTGGATGACTGAGACATATGGTTGTGTCCTTTTAAGCCCAAAGAGCATTTTTTGCCAATCCCTAATTGGTATTAGAAATTTTAGCAAATACCTTTGCCAAGAAAAAATGACTAAGATATATTTAAAATTAAAATATTACAAATGCATGGTTTGGAATGTTTGCTTGGCCATCTCAGCATCACAGCTATCTAAATATTAGCAACTTGGAAAATGAGCGGTCTTCTTGGCGAAGGACAAATTCTTGCAAGACTTCAGAGAATGATGGGAAAAAATAGGAAAGCATATGTCCTGAGCAAGACCCCTGAGTTCTGCTCTGTCAATTATTTTCATGGTCACAGTCTAGTAGGAAATTTCTTTTGTCTAACACTGCCCCCATCTCTGACATACCTATATACAATGACAAAATACATACAATCTGTATTTCTGCTCTTCATGGCAATGGCAGCCCACAATAGCTGTTGTCTCATTGTTCTCTCTTTAATCTTTAACTCCAGCCTAACAATTTCCTATGAGTTCACTAAAACCCACATTCTCACTTGCCATCTGTTTTAGCTTTCTAATAACACCATTTGTTCCATATTTTCTGTTATACAAAGTAAGATACATGATGTATTGTTTGCTAGACCCATAGTTTGTTGCTCACCAAATTCATGGCAGTAAGTTATTTGGTTGAACACATAAGGGATACTCATATTGGTTTTTAATGGCTATACCATTAAATGCAATGGCCATTGATATGTACTTCATCAAACAATACTGCAGGTTAGTAGTCCAAATGGTCTGTCCAAACTAGCTTTGTAGATGAGATTATACATGGTATTTTCTTTTTTCCCCTGGATGGAATTTCATAATCTGAACTAGGAACAATACAAGGTTGTCTTTTTCAAGTAGGGCATTTCTTTCTTTCTTTTTCTCTTTCTTTTTTTTTAAATTTTTTTTTTGTTTTTCAAGACAGGGTTTTCTTGGTAGCCTAGTTGTCCTAGAACTAGCTCTGTAGACCAGGCTGGCCTTGAACTCACAGATATCTTCCTGCCTCTGCCTCCTGAGTGCTGGGATTAAGGGCCTATGCCACCACCACCTGGCTCTTGTTTTGTTTTTAGAGACAGATCTCACTATGTAGCCCAGGCTGGAACATAGTAAGTAGATCAGGCTGGCCTTAAACTCACAGAGATCCATCTGCTTCTGTCTCTTGAGTACTGTGATTAAAGGTGTGCACCATCACATATAGATAAGTAAAGCATTTCTGTAGAATTATGATTGTCATGTAAAAGGAAACATCTCTGGCTCATTCATATTTTACGTTTGCTCTTTGTCATGGGGTTGTAACCTAGTTGAAGAAGTAGATCTGTGCAGATATCAGCATAAGCAAAAGAGCTCAGGTCACTTTAATGATAGTTTGTGGACTAAGCTGGGGAAAGCCGAGAATGGGGGAATGAAGATGTTTATTTCTTATGTAGGACTGCACAGACCTTATCAGAAAGCAGAAAAGGGTTGCACATGCTCAAAGATGTCAGACTAGCAATGACTGTGGGATAAAAACTGAATTAAAGCTTTAGACAGGCCCTGTGGTGGTTCCTCACCTGTGGAGTTGTTGAAGAGAGTGATCTAGTCATATAGGCATTACAGTTTGCCTTTCCCTCACTCTAATGTTCCAAAGCTTTTATTATTTCCTATATAGCTGATTTAGTTTCTCAGTTGGCTAGATACAGTTTCGAAGAAAAGTGTCTTTCTGTTAACATGTGGTGCACTTAACTCTCTGGCTTGCCCCTCATCCCCTGAAGTGCTCCTTCTGAGTCCCTGATTCTTTTTCCAATGAGCTCTGATCCCACTGCAAGAGAATCTGAAGGCCAGGCTTCTTCTGCTTGGTTTGCACCTTTGGCCTGGGCAGAGGGGAGAGGAGGAGTCTGAGCCTGAATTGGGTAGCTGTGCATCTCAGAACCCCTAGAGCTCCTAGGAAGTAATACTGTCAACCTGTCCTTAGGCCCTGTCCATTAGCCAGGCAAATGAAGTGGAAGCCCTAGAATAAGGTAAGAAATGAAAGCGACAGTGGCCAGGCTCCCTGAAATCCCCCAGCCTGTGCCCACAGATTTCTCTGCTGGTGGAGGAATACCCTCTGACTCACAGGCTAGGACCACGGCTCCCTGGGTCAAAAGAACTCTGTCAGTTGACAGTTCCAAAACATTGCTCGAACAAGATTCCCGTTAAACCTGCACAGCCTAGCAAGCCTAGAAACTGAGCCAGATTCTCAGAAAGGGCTGCTTAGCTGAGACCAGACCACCTGGTCCCAGCTTCTACTTGTAAGTGCACAAGGAAACAGGTGCCTTCCTTTGGTAAGATGTAGCCAGCTCACCCAAACCGATCTCTCTCTCTCTCTCTCTCTCTCTCTGTGTGTGTGTGTGTGTGTGTGTGTGTGTGTGTGTGTTTGTGTGTACATATAGGTATGTCCCACAAAGACTTGAACCCAGGGCTTTACTCATGTTAGGCAAGCACTCTACTAATGAGATGTCACCAGCCCTGCCTAACCCTTTAACAGACTGAACATGTGTAATTTATTCAAACTACTGGTGATTGGAGTTGAAAGTAAATATTCCTTGTTCTTTGTGGGATTTCTTCACCTGTGCTCACTTTGTTCCTCTCTCCCACTGACTTGCCCAACAAAAGAAGCAATTATGATTGGAAAGGCTTTTAGGAAACATTAGCAATTTGAGACCCTTTGCTAGGTGACAGTTGCAAATGTTATTTCATATTTCAGAACTACTACCTTCTTCCTCACAGAGTTGCAACTCCTACCTACTAGTCTCTTCTACTTGAAAATCGGAGGTCTTCTATCTACTAAGCACCTGGCCTAAAGGGAGTGCGTGGGAACCATACAGACTGTGTGACTGAACTGAGACTACACTTCCCTCTCCCAGTTTTTGCCGTTTCATTTAATAAGGCAGAAACGCTAAGACCACAATGTAAGCACCTTGGGATTAAAAACATTCTCCTTTTATTTTGTTAGTAAGTCCCTGAATAAAATAACATTTTTTTGTTAGGGCCTCTATGGTGGTTGAAATGAAAAATGTCCCCTCCATAGGCTCAGATATTTGAACACTTGGTTCCCAGCTAGTGGTGCTGTTTGGGGAGCTGGAGCTGCCTTGCTGGAGGAAGTACATCACTAGGCTGGGCTTTGAGGGCTTGCATCCTCACCCTACCTCCATTTTGGAGAGTCTGTTTCATGTTTGTGGTTGAAGATGTGATCTCCTGCTGCCACGCTCCCCCACCATAATGACTTTTATCCCTTTGGAATCATAAGCCAAGTAAGCTCCCCCTTCCTTAAGTTGCCTTTGGTCATGGCGTGTTATAACCACAACAGAAAAGTGACTAATGCAAACACCTTGCACATGGACATTGGAAATATAAGGAATGAAAATACATGCGAATAAAAAAAACAGAATTCGAATTAGCTACACTGATGTTAAATAGAATGAAGACATTGCAGTGTTCGTACCCATGAGAGATGCAGTCACTAGAGAGGGTTAGTTTGACCAAGAGTAGTGACGAGCACTAAGGATGTGGGGAGCACAGGAAAGGGTGTAAAGGAAGTAGGTCTGCCTAAGGTGCCCTGCAGGAGGGAGAGAGGGTGTAGAAATGTGTATACAGACAAGTTCGGGGACGATATGATTTTCTTCTGTCCCAAAGTACATGTTTGATAGCTTTCATCTACTAGAGTAGAAAGTGGCAGGCCGCAGACATTTGAAGAACCCTGGATAGATACATAGCTAGGATGCATAGCCCGTTTCAGAAATGTCTAGTGTTGTCAAACCTGAAATTTAGATGAATACATCTACCTGACCTTGGTTCCTTACATTGTAACTAATTTGATTATTGCAGGATCATCCAAGCTATCAGTCTGTGATGGTAAAAGTCATCAGAGAAAATATTGTGGTATGAAGACTCATTGAAATCACTACCAAATTATGAATATGGGCTAGGGAGTTTTAAACTAGACTAAACCATGATACATACCATCCAACAGAAATTCATGTAATGATGGAAATATTTTCTTTATAGCTGCCCTGTCCAGTACAATAGTCACCAACCACATGTGGCCATTATTCCCTGCAAGTGTGGCAGAAGTGACAGAGGAATTGAATCTTTTTAAGCAGTTAATTAAGTAAGCACATGTGCTGATTACCTTATGGACCAGCCCAATTTTATGTGAGAAACAGACTAGCTCCTTGCACTGAGGTAGGAGGAAGTGGCCTGTTTCACCTCACAGATGGAATCACACAGGCTTTGGTTAAATGGATATTTAAGTCTTGGGTTTGCTACTAATTTAACTCTTGGTTATACATAAAAATACACACAGGTAATACCGTATATGCAGAACACACTTGGAGGACGGTGTAGGTCAAGTCCATTATTTATCATTTTGGAAGCTGGTTTCCATGTGCTTCCTTTAGAACAGTGATTTTTCAGGCTACAGTATATATCAGAATGACCAGGAGGGCTTCTTTGAAACCCAGCTTGTTAGGCCTCTCCCTCTAGTGGTTTGAATCCAGTGGAAATGGGATTTGAGTGTGAGACTGCAAGCCTAACAAATTCTTGGTGATCTGGGCATACTGCCAGACTTGGAGAAATGTGGCAATAGATCAGGTCCCATATGGCTATTCTAGGAAACTAGTTTTTGCCTTAACCCTTTGTAAGTGAGTCCTTTTCTTTATTCCCATCAGTTTGTCTTGGCCTAGAGACTTTCTTACTAGTTTTCCCTGGGGCTGAAGTGTTTGGTGAGTCCCAGTGTGGTGTGTGTGTGTGTGTGTGTGTGTGTGTGTGTGTGTGTGTG